GTAATTCAAAATCTATTATTCTTTTAGTTAAATTGGTTAAATATAAGAATGTACTCACAAGTTCTAAAGATGATGCAGTAATTATACGAGCGATGATAGCTAGAGAAAATTTTGATCATATGCTCATAGATAATGAAAATTCGATAAATGTACTATATGGAAGTGTTTCTTATTGAATGCAAACATATTATTCATGGATCTTTGTTTCGAAGCTTTACTATTCCATCAGAGAAGGTTACGTCCCCACGAATAGACCACTCTGCAAGTGAAATTGTGTGAGGAGCCCCCTGGGCGTGCGAGGAAGTCACCTTAATGATCTAAAGAAGACTACATCACGAGTCCCCCAAGAGCATGTAATAGCAATAGTGGAAACAAACAACCTTGGTAAAAAAAATTAAAAATCAATGATTCAATCGACCCTTGTATACTTTTAAGGCAATAGTAGCAGTTGAAGAATTAGAAAGTTTCCTCCCTAGTGAAGATGATGTAACTAAAACTTTAAAAATTAGCAAAGAATTGATTGAGCCTATGAAAAGCCTATTGAAAAATTTCTTGAAAGCAAACGTTGATGTGTTCGTTTCGATACATGCTAATATGGTAGGAATAGACCCCGTAGTCAGGGACGGACCCAGCACCCGGTGAGAGGGCACGGTCGCCCGTGCTGGATTCGTCGGAGCCTTCAATTTTGTCTGGCGCCGCTAACTGAAGAAAGGAGAAAACATAGTAGAACGTAGAAGCCGGGGAGGAAGAAGAACAGGTCGCAGGTGGGCCTTTTTTTAAAAAAAGTCTTGGCCCATTTGTTTTGGGCTGAGAGATTTGGGCCTTTTTTTAAATGAGGCCTAATTAAATGAAATAACTATAACCATTAGTATCTGCACAGCCGCACGGAAGCACTTTACAGGCTAGAAATCGGGTTTCAAATTTAAGGAGCAGAGATTCCATCTTCTTCTTGGTCGGAGGGTAATTTGAGGAAATTGGAGCTTGATCGGACGGTGAGGTGTTTCTGATGAACAATTGCATTTTTGGCTTGTTTGGCCAGCTTTAATGAAATTAAAGCTCGCCGTTAATTCTCGCCCTTGGGATTTTCAGGATTATCAACAAAATTTAATTTACTGAGCTTTCCTGGTTTGGAGAATAGAAATATGAAAGCCCCCAACTTGAAAATTTGGCCTCTTTGTCTTTGGTGGTTTGTTTATGGGGCTGCATTGTTTCTGATTCTGAGTTATTAAATTGAAGGTTGGGTATGAAGAATAGTGGGAATAGTCAACTGCTAACACTTTTCTGCAATGGAAAAGTTGCTGTCTTTGATGTTATAGAGCTTTAGGTATATTTTTATGTTTAAATTTCTTTCAAATTGTTATTGAGAATTCATGCAAATAGGATTGTGGATTGAACTTCTTACCATTTTTAATTATGCATATCTATCTACCAATTATTAAAAGACCTACCAATGAGACGCGAGTTTTCAAGATTGTGGCAGATGTCGCATTCATATTAGTACATACGCGTGTTTGTAGTTAGCACACGAGTTTATTTTCCTTTTTCCCATGTTTTGGTTAATTTTTAATTGTATGTTCTTCAATTTGCAACCTATGAAATAGACATGCTAGAAAATATCTTTCTGTGTAGTTAAATATGTTATACTTAGTATATAAATAAAGCTAGAATAAAGAGAATTATATCAATAAAAGAGGAAATGTGTGGACTACATGGAAGCAACTTTTCCATTTTTTTTAAAGAAATTTTTAAAAAATTCAACAATACCAAGAAACCGTTGATCAAATTCAACCTGTTATGGTATCATAAAGCAACGTAGTCCTCAACCCCTTCGCCAATCTCAAATATAAACTTCCCCCAACTGAAAACAAAAACAATTAATATATAATTTTTACGTTTAAGTGCGTTTACATATATATTAAATAATTTTTAATATTATTTAATTAAATATTAATAAACGATCTCGTTCTTGCGATCGCTAATTGTCGATGGTCAATTGTCAACGTCTGCACAGGCTGAAGTTTTGTGTTGGATCTGTCCCTGCCCATAGTGACTCAGAAATTGTACACGTGTCAAAAATTGTACAAAGTTGATGAAATAAAAAGTGATCAAAATTGATGAAATGTGTGGTTAAAATTAATTATTAATTTTCACTTAAAATTTTAATTTAATTTTAATCCAAACCAAACAAGAACTCGTCAATAATTAACTTATCTCTAAACTCGCATAGGATTCTAATCGGTTGTTTAAAGAATCACCTTCCTGGTAGCAAGTACCACAAAAGCCTAATGCTATAAAAGTCGTAAATATAATTGGTTGTTCTTTATGAAATATTCAACTAAGCGAACTCTTTGTAAAATCCAAAAATACACGAGAATTCAAAAGAATCTAAAAGCACTCATTTGAAAAAAGAAACTTTAGAGCCATCCAAAACAACGCGAACCAACATACTTGAAAAAAAGAAATGATTAAGCTGGAAAATAAAACATGAATGATAACAGAATCAATTGGACATCAATCAATTATTGACCGACACATGTTATGAACTAAAAAGACTGGTATTTACTCTCAAAGCGTAAAGAGAAATTTATAAATGTGTGCTTGAGACGAAGAATATTACGTGAAAATTGAAACATTTTTCTTAAAAGTAATCATTTCTTCTCCCACTCTCTATCAAACAACAGAAAAAGAGAGTTTCGAAGAACAAAAATCCAGATTAGATAAGGGAAATTCGTTAATCATCATTTTGAGGTCAACACTGATTAAATATATGAAATCTGTTTTGTTTGGATGTAAAAATGTCTTTTGCTCAATTATTTCCAACTGTGACTGACGTTATAATGGGGCTGTGATACACGACGAGAAAAAGGAGGACAAACTTATGGAAAAAGACAATATAAATTGCTAGCCTATTTTGACACGTAAACATTGATTAGACAGCTTCAGAAAAAAAAAAAAAGTTCGATTAGACCAAACAATTATAAAAGTTGCAGATTTTTTTTTGGCCTTTTCTAATACTGTTTTAGTTTTATAACGTAGGTAAATAAGTTTAATGATGGCACAAGCACCACTTTGAGCGACCACATAATTTGTGGTGAAAAAATTTACCAACAAATGAATTACGTTATACTTTAATCTCTTAAACTTTTAGACGTAATATTTTAGCGTATTGGAGTCAAAATCGTCCAAATTTTTAATAGGCCATTCCTATAAAAATAATGCTACTTACAGTCGCTCATTGTAACAGTCGTTTTATGTGACACACACATGTCAAGTGTGATTTGATGCATTAAATGTGATAAAAAATTACCACATTAATGTATCAAATAACTACATATGTGTGTGCCACATAGGGCGACTGCTGCAGTGAGCGACTACAAGTAACATTACTCATTCGTACAAATGGCCAAGAGTGTACAACCACAAGTGCTTCCCCTTCATTGGGGGAGAGGAAGAGAGTTGACAGTGATCTGACCGCGAGCTCCAAAGGTGCAATGGTGAAAATCAATGCATGCAAGTTAAAGAAATGTGCATTCTTTGGTGGGTCCAAACAGCAAATTCCAAGCTTATACACAAACAAAAACATTGTGATTTTACTACCACTTTACCCTCAATAATATTCTACAAAATGACAATTCAATTCAATCTGTAGGCCACATGGCTCTTTTTCATTGGCAGGATAACTTACTAGGTTATCTCCTTACTATTGAAGTGTTCCAAGCATATAATTATAGGGAGGTCCTCAAGAAGTACGAAATGTATCGAGAAGTTTCTAACTTTTTTGTCTACTGAATTTTAAATCTTTGGCTTTTCATTTAACATATAAACAGTCAGGTTTGGATAAATACTTTTTCCCTTGTTCTTAATCAACATAAAGAATGTAAAAAACTACGTCCCCTCAAGAAAAAAAGGGAAAAAGGAAAAGGTGAAGAAGTGGGTTCGTAGATAAGGACAAAGGGGTATGGAAGGGAGAATGAGGTGGAGGGCTAGGTAGGGGGAGTGGAATTGGAACCACAGATGGAATGTGGTGCGTGGCTTGGAAAAGGGGGCCGGGTGGGACTTGTATAAAGAGAGGATGGGGATGGGAAAGGATTGGTAGTGTCGTCTAGTTGATGAAGTAGGAGAGGAAGTGAGAGCGCGGGGTCTAAGGTGTTCTAAAGGATTGGGGGAAAATGGGCGGGTAGGATTTGTAAAATTTTTTCCTTCTTCTTTCCTTTACTCCCACTCTCTCTATTTTTTTCGCTTTTTAAAAACAAAAAAAAAAAGACTATATGTGGCTAACGAACGATGGGAGAGTTGGCTTGACTTTCAACAAGAGGTAAAAGTAAACTTACTTCATCTTCATACAAAAATTATAATGTAAACAATGATTATATTTCACGCGTTCTAGTCACATTCATCATCATCCTACGATTAGTATAATGCAGTTTGGTAAAACATAAATTATGATTTAAATTGATGGAACATACTTTATACTCACACAAACCATAGAACTTAAGCATTTAAGATCACTTTCAAATATATTCATAATGTTTTTTTTTTTTTGCTAAATCATGATCATTTTCATAGTTTCTAGAGAGGAAAATGCATAAGTTTATCATCATACTCCAAGTTCGGAAAGATCATATCTTTTTCATAGTCTCCATGAACGTATCCAAAAGGTTGATGACCTATTTGCTTCCTTTCTTATATGTTGAGAACTCAACTATAATATTATCGTGGATGGGACCAGTTGATCACGTGGAGAGGTAGGCGTTTTAAGAAGAAACGAAAATCCTTAAAAGACAGAGAAATGGTGGTTTACAAATCCCCTAATCCCTTCTCCACCAATTATCATTCATCTCCCACGTGGGACCTTGGCCCCACACACCTACCATTTCTTCTCCTTCTTTGGCTCAATATCATCCGATCATCACCTCATTATATACTCCCCTCTGCATATAATCTCCTTGCAAGAACTTGTTTGATTTGAAGATCAGATATCCATCAAACCGCATGCTGTTATGGGAGAATCTTCTTCATCATACATACACATGGTAATTAATTAATCCAGGCAGCTTCTAAGTGATCTCTATCTATTTATAATTGATTATTCTTGCATGTTTTAAAGCTTCCTCTCATTTTGTATCTTTTTCACCTTCTAAACTTGTTTTTTTTATGAGCTTTGATATGCTTTAGGTACAATATCTGATTGAAAAGTGTTTGATCTTCCACATGACAAAAGAAGAGTGCATGGAAGCTCTTTCCAAGCATGCAAACATCCAACCAGTTATTACTTCCACTGGTTTGCCCCCTAACCTAATCCTCTACTTATAATTTGGATAACCCTCGTAACTCCAAAGAATATAATTATTTATAACAAACCCTGACTTCTAAAAGTGACACGGAGATCTGTCCGTGCTTTTTGTGAGGATCTATATCTTTTGAATTTCCTCTATTAGTGCAATCTTTTCTGTTAAACTTTTAAGGCCCTCATACTCAGCAGTAATAGAGAGTTCAATAGATAAAATTTAATTTATTTTCTTCTTTAATGATCAACTTTGATTATATCTATAAATTGGTTTGCAGTTTGGAACGAGTTAGCGAAAGAAAACAAAGGGTTCTTCGAAGCATACAATGAATCTCAAAGCAAGAAAGATAAGATGTCGGAGGCTGAGACGAGTGCCATGATCCAGAAGATGATAACAGATCATGATTCTTCCACCAAGAAACCCCAAGATTCATCCTCAGTAACTGACCATCAGGAAATGATCGAATCAGATTGACACGCACAAACAAATATATAGACGCATTCCCTTAGATATGCCGAAAGGCAGATTCAGAATGGAACAAATCGGGTAGGATCCGATCCAGTATAACACCTGGGATTCTCACGTCCAGTGAATTTGGCTGTAAAATATATATATACACCTATACTAAGACAGTAGAGAATATATATTGAATGTGACATGAGCAGAATGTGGGTATATGTGTGTGTCTTCTGTTATCACTATTGAATAAAGCATAGTAAGTGGGGGATACTTCTTGTGTCACTATCGTTGTCTTTACAATTATTTGTCTGAACATTGAAGAAGAAAAGGAGTCACAGGTCAGTATTCTTAAACAGAAACGGAAGTAGAGATGCAAACTCTATTCTCAAAAATTCATAGAATGTCGTACAAATGTTTTATATAGAAAGTATATTTTCATGTTTATATTTAAAAATCATTCAACATTTTAATTTAATAAATTAGTTTAACACTAATATATTACAGTTAACTCAACCGTTAAACTGGAATTTTAACTCGACAAATTATGTCATCTTTCCACCTTTGAGGTTCAGTAAATGCTCCTAGATGGCTGAAGTCGGAGGCAAGACTTCATCTTTCAGAGTAAAACCAATTTACACTGGTCAAGATTTTATGTTCCAACAGTCTTTAGACACTATATGATGTTGCTCATAGTTGGTGGATCTCGTTAAACTGTGAGTCTAATGAAATGTGTCGTTAGAAATAGATAGTACGACTTTTCAAAAAAGGACTAACATGACTGTACAAATTGACTGGATTTTTTCTTACACATGAGCAAAGAATAAATTGTTCGTTCAATCAAACAACTGAATGGGCCTTCTAGTTCAAGTTTGTACTGAAATTGGGTTCAAGCTAGGGATGGCAAGGGGACAGGTCGGCAATTCCCATCTCCTTCCTATCGGATATTTTTTTTTTTTACCTTATCCCATCCCCATACCCTTTTAAAGTGGGACGGGGCGTGTTCGGGGCGAGATAGAGACGGGGCGGGGCGGCCCATTTATCGCCCAACTTATTTTTTCTTTTTATTTTATTTTTTGCTTTTATTTTTTTTAAATTTTTACTTAGTAAATATTATTATTTTTTTACCAATTTGTTAGAAACAACTGATATTCTCTTTAAAAATATAATAAACATATTATTTTTGGTTGATAAAATACTTAAATTTAAAATTAACTTTAAACGAGAAGGGTAGGGGGAGGGGACAATAATTCTCGTACCCGCCTCGTACCGACTTCAGGGAATTTATGACCCATCCCTAGTTCAAGCAATCATTGAGAAAACTAAAGTGGAAGCTCATATAAAAATAATGGAATATCTCGTAAGTGGAGGAAAAATAAAAAGCAAGGCGATTAGAAATCAAGGCACCACAACGATATGGAACTTGCATTATTTGCCAAAGGTCAAACCATGAATCATTAGATTGCTAAGAAATGCAAATTGCCTATTTGATAATAGGAATTAAAATTTAGATTTTAATTTCAACAATTAATTTTAAACACATATTTTATGAGATTCACAAATCTTCAACTACACGTTTTCTCAATTTTTATCAAAATTTACTAAAAGTCTGATTTCAATCCCCATCCAACAGGGGAAAAATTTCTATTCATTCTCGGAGGGATTGTTGGTTTCAAAATAAGGAGAAAAATGAAGTAATAGATGAAGCAAATATTTTAAAGGAAAGTGAAGAGAATTTTTCTCTATTCTCGTCAAAGTGCTGATTGTGAATCGCAAAGTTTATGGTGTTAGGTTAGTGGCTACAGCAACCACATGATGTCTTTGTGGATCCTTATTCAAATATCACTTTTCAAATAATTCTTGGTGATTGCGCGCAAAAAAACTGCAGAAGGAAAATACATTGATGTAGAACAGATGGTTGAATGGATTGAAAAAGAATTGAACCGAAAAGGAAAAAATGCAATAGTGCCAGCCAAGCTCTGGTTTGATCAACTGAGTTCATTTAGGATTCGAAAATTGTTTTTAAAGTTTAGTGCTATTTTTGTTATTTAGTTTATTTCGAATTATTTGCAATTTTAATTTGTTTAAATTAGGTTTTCATGAAAATCTTTATAAATAACATAATAATTCATCGTTTTTTTATTATCTTACATTAATAAAATTTCGTGAGTTAATTTTTTTTTATTTGGCGGATTTCAAAATTGTGTTCTTAAGGGGTAACAAAAAAACTTTTTTTTTTTAATTTTTAATTTCGTGATTTCATTTCTTTTTTAATCAGTGTCAAAACACCGTCGTTGTTCGTGCTAAGGGGTAACAGAAAACTTATTACTGATGTTCTTTATGTGCCTAATTTTTCACATAATCTCCGAAGTTTTGGACAACTCATTTTTCAGCCCATTTTCAGAAAGGAAAATGCACGACTCCTGATAAAAAGAAAAAATCATTGTGGCAAATGTTGAAATGAGAAACAAAATGCAGATTCAAAACAATTGTGGAATCTCCGATATGTCTTTTGAATGGCAAGGGCCAACATTTGCTCAAACAGAAGAATATGGGAAAATGCACAAGTTTCAATTTCCTAAAACTTCATGGAAAGCAAAAGCACAATTGCAAACACCTATTCGAGCCCTAAGAGAAATTTATGATTCGTGTGAACTCATTCATTTGAAAATACCTCAAAAGATAAGAGGTGACAAACTCAATGAATGAAGAAATGTCCCCCCATTGGAAAAAAAACAAAACTTGGGAGCTTATTGACTCGCCAAAAGGGAAGAAAACCATTAGGCTAAAATGGCTATACAAAACTAAATACAGCGTGGACGGGTCAATTCGAAAGTACAAAGCATGATTTGTCGTCAAAGGTTACTCGCAGTAGATAGGAATTGAGTTTACAGAAATGTTTGCTCCGGTTACAAGAATGGAGACAATCCATGTTATCGTGGCATTAGCAGTTCAATTGGAGAAAGCTGTTTATCAGTACGATGTAAAATCAACATTCCTCTATGCACGAGGAAATTCATGAAGATAAGCATCCCAAAGGTTTCAACCCAATACACTACGGATGTTGCTGATGTTTATCACTATCGTGGCTGCTGGACACGATTTCTATATTTTCAGATAATTTAGAAAATCTTAATTTTATTGAAGAAATTTGATTTGAGTTTCTACATCTCCCCTTTTATATTCGATTTCCTCACTTTTCTTCTAATACAAATACCACTAAAATTTCGACTTGTTTAAATAGGCAGCTATGAACAATTTTAGAAATTTTATTGTAAATTACAAAGTTATTCCAACTTAATATTATTAAAAAATCACCAACGTTTAACCAATGCATCCAGCTTTTCCGGATCAGGCTCAAATTTGTTGTATCCTTCTGTATCGAAGTAAAGCTACAACCCAGGTCTGTATAGTTAAATACTTGATTTCCATTTCGGTAATATCCATTTCTTAGACGATCCCACGAGTCAAAAAAGTCGAATACTCTAAAACATTACCATGCATCTGATCGATATATAGTTCTTAATATGTAATCTTGACAGTGGAATGGTGGAAACCAAGACACGTTCCTAGATCACATATTAGTCCTTAACAAGGAAAATATACACGGGTAAACCGTTCAATTATTGACCACAACGACCAACACTAGTCCACCTTATTTCTGGGACACATTCACACATGGCCACAATAACACATCATGCTAGAGTTCATCCATTAACTTTGGTCGCCCAACCTGCAATTACGTATTCCTTTGCAACATTCGTTTTCTGGAAAGACTCCCGAGAAAAGAGCAACTGTAGAATAGGAAGAAAATGATGAACACATTAGGCAATTAAGATTTTGAACAAATAGCAGCAAAAACATCCTAAGACAAAATGCAAATGGAAAGTAGGCAGCAGATTTATGCAAGTGCGTGGCCGATACTTGTTACATAACGATAATATTGAACATGGGTTCATTATATGATATACGAGTATAAGATTCTTTCACAAACCAGCAACCCTGCTGAATTATAATGTTAATACAGTAGATGACTAAATTATAAAATAGTTTGCATCACAGACAAACAGTAAACGAAAAGCCAAACAAAAAATGAACAAATGATCGTATATCCAACACCTGCTTTCATAGTAAAAACAGATCAGCCAGAGGGTAAAAATCTAATAAAATCTGCACACAGGCAACAAATCAGAATAAACAATCAGAATCAACCCAAGTTTCATTGAAGTTGCCAAATACATCAATTGCATGCTTCAAGACCAAAAACAAAGTAACTTTCCAATCGCAATAACAAAAAAGTAACGAAAAGCCATAAAAAAAAAACAAATGTTCGTATAACCATCACCTGCTTTCATAGTGAAAACAGATCAGCCAGAGAGTAAAAATCTAATAAAATCTGCACACGGGCAAAACTATCACTCTATGAAACTTATAAGATACATACATTGAAGGCAAAATAATACTAGGCGCATAACAAAAAAATAAATAAATCATATAACTATGGTATAAAATTAAGAATCTATACCAGAATAAACAAAATCAGAATCAACCCAAGTTTCATTGAAGTTGCCAAATGCATCAATTGCATGCTTCAAGACCAAAACGAAGTAACTTTCCAATCAAAATAACCAAAAAGTAACGAAAAAGGAGTACAAAGAATTGTATGAATGTAAGTGAATTAGTTGAATTATCAATTATTCAAATGGAAACATATAGAACTATGTTTAAATGAGTAATTATTAAATCGATATAATAATAATAATTATTAGTATAAATGTATATGCATCAGATTCTCGATTTATCTGAAACGTAGATTATTCCCTTTTTTTTTGTTCATTGTATCTTTGTATATAGAATATATATCCTTTTAAGTATAGTGTGCAGATCCATGTGTTATGGTATATGGTACAGCTACGTGACAATATTGGAGTATCCAATGCTTCCAAGGGCAAAATAATCAAAAAGATTGAGTGATATACATTTATATATATGATGCACTTGTAAACAATGACGTGAAATGGGAAAAAAACATTAAAACTTTATGCAATTTTCAAAATACATAAAAAAATGTGATTCAGTTCATATCTATGCAACCATTCGAACACAAGCAAAATGTGCCCACTGATTAAACCAAGTCAATTGTGGAATTTTGTCCATGCAATCAGAAAAAAGGTTCACATCACAAAAATAGTTTTTTATGTACCACTTTGCTTCGAGACAATAAAGTTGCTTCCAAAATTTTTATTAGTTATTGGAGACGCTCAACTTATAAAATATGATTATGAGCTTGTCAACTACCCCACTTAAGACTCGGCTAACAAACAACCCCAGTAGTACCACTTTTCTATTTCCATGTATACCCAATCAGCATGTAATTGATGGAGTTCAGCAGGAGCATAGGGTAGAATATTTTGAAAATGCCAAGGCTGGCAGAAACTGGTGCAATTACTGTACATAAACTTCAGGATTTGAAAAACTAATCAATGGGACAGAAGAAATACATGCTAAAGATCAACTAAAAATCGCTAATTATGTGTAGGTGGGATTTGTAAGGGGGTGAAATACGCAATTGCAGCAGCATCAGTTCAACCTCCAGGTCCCAGTTTTGGCTCTTGGGAAGTCTATATCAAGTCTTTAGAAGATGTTCACCAAAAAAGAGATCCAGTATTACCCTTCTAAGAAGATGCAACTAACATGCTCACACACTTGCTACAGTAACAAGATTGGCAGTTTAGAGAGAATGAGATGTGGGGGAGGAGAGGCTATCTTAAGCAATAGAAATTCACAATAAGATCACTTATGCGGGCAACAAATATTTACAATAGGACAGTAAGCCCCTGTCTGCCTCCACTTTTTGTGAGATTAAATCCTATTTTTTACCATTGCAAAGTGGGTGTGGGTCCTAGTGTCAGAATTGTGTAAGAAGCAAGTAAAAAAAAGGGCAGCCATGGGCCCATTTGGAAGTGGCAACCGTCAATAAATTGATATAAATCTTATTGAAAAGCAAGAGCAGCACTAGTGCAACTAAGCATGTGTAGACTAAACTTTTTAGAGAATTCTTGATGATACTATTTGTTTACTTTAACCGTAATCGATATTTTCTTTTATTTGCTCTACTTTTAGTCTATTTCCTCTCTTAATTGTTAAGAGAAAATATTTGACACGTCTTGGAAAGAGTCGGTCGTCACATAAAGGAATTTGAGGTCTTTTTTAATTCTTAATGCTGCTCGTGGCTCAGAAATTATTCTTTAAGGGGGGACCTACTGTATCTCTAACCTAATATTATCCCACAACTATTTAATTTTAGAATGTTGAGGCATGAACATCATACGTGTCTAGATCAATTTGAAAGTTATTGTCATCTTTGTTGCAATTTTGTGTTCATTTATTGCCTGTTTTCTCCCTTCAGTGCATATATGCAATCATGAAGAAACGCGTGATGTAACCAACACAGCAAAACTTCGAAAGTGGTTAAGGAAACAATTTTTCTAACAAATGACCCCTTGCTTGTAAATCTATTGCATCTTATTTATGTCGGTTTCAGATCCGGTTGAATGTGTACACCCATAAAAATAAAGGAGAGTAAGAGTAGAAGGAAGAAATTTAAAAATCAACAGGAAATTATCTGATACCTTCATATAGTTATGCAAATGAGTCAAACTTTCTGGAACATTCCAACCCTTGAAATGGCCAAGAGCCACGACAAGATGGTAAAGCTTTGGTGCTAAACTCAAATCGACAGCACATATATTTTCTCCATTCACATAAGGTCCCTGGAGATGCATACAACTAAGTACATCATCAACTACAAATATAAACAAAAACCCTCGCGAATAGTTTTTATCTTTGTAATTAGGGTTGAAGGTAAAACCTTAATTTTTATTACACAAAACTTCATACCTTAGCTTTTAGATGCTCATCCAATGCCTTCAATTCATCAAGCAGAGCCTGCTCTGAACCATCGCTGGGGTCTTTGCTCATCAAGAACTTAAAAAAAGAAGAAAATATTTTGGATCCCCTACAATTTCACAGAGGTTAACAATAAGAATTAGTAGCAGAACGCATTCTTAGGATTAACGCAGGAAAACCTGCAACATATCTAATACAGGGATGGTCAATTTTTTTTTTAAATACTCAATGATAAGAAATAGCAAAATAACTCCCTGACTTCCTATAGATTACAACACCAATAAATCAGTGCACCAAACCATTTAGCTAACGCACATATTTAAAAGCCATTCACACATTTGTCAAATTTGTTATAATTACCCGCTTCCATTGTCTTAACAACAAAGGAATACAAAATAAATTGAAATTAAAAAGAAATACATAACTTTGCACCAGGCAAAGAGCACAAAGGTTAAGCACAATTCATGCATCAAATCAATGATACGATTACAAAAAGACAAGATCAAAAACAGTACCAGGAGAGAAGAATACAAACTGTATCATCTCAGTTTAATAAACAAATGAATATAAACTATTAATCCATTATTAGTTTCTAGGAAAAAGGTGGATTTAATTCAAAAGGAGTTGCTCTCTTCGGCCTAAATCTCCTGTTATAACAATTCAGAATATTATGTTAATTAAGAATCAACACACCCAAACATGTGTATAAAGAAGAAGAACATCATAAACATCCTACTTTCTAATAAAAAGTTCGAAGAAAACAAAGACACTAGAAATCTAATGATTAGTCCAAGATCATTGAAACTTGAAAATCTCCTTAGAAGCAGTTTCCATCTCAACAAATTTCCAAACCTACTCCTGCAAGAATACTAATTTTAAATTTGCAATCTCATTTGCAAGAATACTAATTTTAAATTTGCCCATCAAAAGACAAACAGTTAAATTTTATGCCAATATCATGACTTTAAAAAGTAAGATGCAGCAATATAAGATGATACAAATACAAAACCATCATTCAACTCAAGAATCCAGAAGCAAAAGCACCATAAATTTACAGAAATTTAGAAGATCATTTCAGATTTCTATAAATAAAAATGTAGATTAAGAGAGAGCGATAATGATTTCATACACAGAGGAGACTTCAGGAGGAGCAGATAAAGAAGGGTTCGGGTATTTCTCTTCAATAATACCAACAATAACATCAGAGTCAGCAATCCACTTGTCATCAAATTTCAAAACTGGCACCTTCCCTTCTGGATTCACCTCCAAGAACCTAAAACAATCAATAACGATCCCAAAAACACATTTCATTACTACAAACAAATTAATAAAAGAATATATAAAACGGCATTGATACTGGAATTAGCAGTATTTACCATTGGGGCTTGTCACTAGTGTTGATCAAATGCGTCTTGTAAGGGACTTTCTTTTCTTCCAGAGTCATGAGTACCCTTTGGCAGAATGGACCTAAAACATCAAAAGAAACATGAAAATGTGAAGGACGAAACGAATCAATCAACAAAAACAGAAAAAATGAGAGGAAGAAAGAATTCATATTTACAGTCGCCGAGAATGTCAGGAGCACCGGCAGCAGCCTTAACACAGACCTCCACAGCCATTGATGGATTACGGATGTTTCTATATCTGACGAATTGCTTAGGGTTTGATGGAAATTGCAAGTGAATAAGTAGGATTACGCCTGCATATGGGTTTCTGTCCAGAAAGATCTTTCTGCGTGGCTCGTTTGGTAACGCTAATTCTGGATTGGTATTAGAAATAAAAAGAAATTAAAAAAGTCGCTTGGGGAAGGTTGTCGACTTTTACATTTTTTTTTATTTTTTAATTGAAGTTTTGTAATTACTAGTCGGGTAAATTGCACTTTTTCATCCCCAATCTTTGTCTAGAGTAGTAATCATACTTCCATCCTTTAGTAGCTGGTTTTAACGCAACTTTCAACTAATTAGCAAGAATCGTCATTTTGGATGTTTTCCATACAAATGTGTCGTTAAATGGGTTTGTTGACTTCTAATCGACATTTAAATAACATACCGTCTACCATCATTCAAGATTTCTTAAACTAATGCGAATTTAATCAGAAGATTCTTTGTTTGTGGATAGCGGGCAGTTTTATCGCTCTATATCTATCACCTATTTTGTTCAAAATGTTACTCAAAGTCACTAGCTTTGTTTTTGCATGAAAATAGTTGTAGTAGGTTTTTGTGTTTTGACTCACCTACGTTTGACCAATCAAAGCAACTAATTCCTAGGTTGTTGAGGTCAATGTGAAGGTTGTAGATAGAGATGATGGTTACAACTGCTTGTGAAGTCATGGAAGCAAAGATCCAATATTAGAGGGGTTGATCAAGATGTTCGAGGCGTAAATCAAGATATTAGAGGCCCGGATGGTGAGATTTGAGATGAAGAGCGGACGATGATCAATTATACCCCTCACATTATCCACTTCAGTCGACACGGACAAGAGTCTCGGTGCTACGAAAATGGCCAAGTCATAAGAGATCGTACAGACTTAACCTACACTTGCTTGGAAAAAGCCCAAAATGCGATGAAGTGGGTAGATGTGAAATGGAGGCCTTTGCAACTGAATGCTAGGTATTAGGTTTGTTGGGGCATACAAGTCCCACATCGGTTGTGGGAAGAAAATAAATCCCCCATATAACCTAACTGGGCTTCTCCC